TACCGTTCTTTGATAGAAACGCTCAAACGTTTTTGTCTGGAGAACTAACAAACAGGGTTGTTGTCCACCTATTGCCTTTTCAACTGTCGGTCTTCCCCCACCTCTCCCGCCTCCATGGCCACCCCATCATTTTCAGATAGGAGAGGAATGGACTGGAAGAACAGAGTGAATAGATTTCTGGCATCAGACTGAGATGTTGGGAAAAGGGCCAAGTCAATTCTAGAGCAAGGAACTGAGCTGCGATATGGACTGTAAAACTCTTAGTCAGACACGGCCCAGTTGAGGTCCAGATCTGCATGGGGGGCACAGAGGGGCATACACCAGATTGTTTGGCTTCACAATCCGATTGGTCAGAAACTTACTGCCTGCCTTTGAGGTGACACAGACCCCCGGATAGGAGAAAATGCCCTCTTAATTATTCCACCTGCATGCCAGGACCACCACTCTGCAACAGAGAGGATTCACTGCATTTAATTGATGGGCTTAAACAGGCACTTAACTCTGTTGGGTTCTGTAAAAAGTGTTCATATGCAGGTGTATTCTCCCTGCATGCTTTCTGCCATGAAAGCCCTTATCTCAGAAAATTATAAAGTCAGGGGAAAGGCCACATTTTGATTGCTGTCAGTTATATAGGGTCTAAAGTGCACTGTGTTCATTATTTTACAACACAACCCAATGCTTCTTTATTCATAGAATAAGAGAACCATAGAATCGTGAAGCTGAAATTGACCCAAGGGTCATATAATCCAACCCCCTGCAATGCAGGGATCACAGCTAAAGAATTCCTGTCAGATGACCATCCAACCATTGTTTAAAAACCTTAAATGAAGGAGATTTTAACAAGTTGCAAGGTAGTCCATTCCTTTGTTGAATAGCTCTTACTGTGACAAAGTTCTTCCAAATATTTCACCGGAATCTTCTGTTCTGCAATTTGAATCAATTGGTTTAGATCCTCCTCCCTGGGGCAGCAGAAAAAAAAACTTGCTCCATCTTCCAGGTGACAGCCATTCAGATATTTGAGGATGGCTATCATATTGCCACTCAATCTTCTCTGGGCTAAACATACCCAACTCCCTCAACCATTCCACATAAGGCTTGGTTTCCAGATCCTTAACCATCTTGGTCACCTTCCTCTGCATTGCTCCATCTTGTCAATATCCTTTTTAAACTGTGCTGCCCAGAACTAGAAGTTACTCATAAGTAAGCCTCACTGAGTTCATTGGGGGACACGCCTAAAGTAAGTGCGCACAGAATTGCTGCTTTAAATTTCCCTCCTATAAACACATACCTGAGCCTCTTGGACTTGCCTATCAGCAGGTCAGCAGTTCAAATCCACACACTGGGGTGAGCTCCCATTGCTCTGTCCCAGCTTCTGCCAACCTAGCAGTCTGAAAGCGCACCAGTGCAAGTAGATCAATAGGTACCGCTGTGGTTGGAAAGTAAATGGAGTTTCTGTGCACTCTGGCATTCGTCATGGTGTTCTGTTGAGCCAGAAGTGGTTTAGTCATGCTGGCCACATGACCTGGAAAGCTGTCTGTGGACAAAACTGGCTCCCTTGGCCTGAAGCAAGATGAGTGCCACACCCCATAGTTGCCTTTGACAGGACTTAACCGCCCAGGGGTCCTTTATCTTTACCTTTACCGTTCATGTTTGAGAGATCTATATTTTGTTGTTTGTAATTTTGTTTGAAGGTTGGGAACAAATTGCTCTCCTCTCCTAGTTTCTAAAGATCTTTAAATACATTGTTTATCTTCTCCATATAATGTACAATTCAGGTTCTGTGATAATGAATTTAAAAATTGATTTTCAGTTGCCCCTGAAAAGACCAGTAGGATCCAACACACATTGCATCAATAAATCTTTTTCTTGTTTATCTCATTGGTTTTTGTCTTTTGTTTTCAGACACTTACCAGAGAGTAATTTCCATTGAAATTCCATTACAGTATATACATTTCTGAAGGCCTGGGCCACTCCCACTCCCAACGTGATTGGCTGTCTAAACTTCCAAGCTGCGAATCACGACTCAGCATTTAAGGGCCAATGGCAGAGGCCCAAATCCTGAAATGTTCTGTGACTGGATATCATGTATCGAATCAGAACACAGGGGCTCAGAATGCTTAGTCCAGACTCAAGCTCAGGCAAACACAGACCACCGAACACATAATATTCCATTAACTGAAATCTCTGGGGAGAGGGAATCATTTGCAAGGACTGGTCAAAAGAAATGCATGAAGCGTATCTGGAAAACACAAGATTGCATGTTCAAGGTCCCCAAAAATCAATCCCTATGAATATCCATCCTGAGAAAACAAGAGTAGAGCAGGGGTGACATTTCCAAGCAAAATCAGTTCATGCCAGGGCTTGCTGATTAATTCCTTACCAACTGCACCCAGGCACTTCTGTCACTTGCTTTGCATCCTGAAAGACTGGCCACTTAGGCAGAAGATGTCTTCTACTGTTGTCCCAAATCAGTTGTAACTGGAAGGCAGCATCATAATTGCCGCATTGATGATGTTGTTAATGGACACAAAGCTACATAGCAGACAGGCTCGATGAACATTATATTACTGCCTCGTTAAAGTTCACATCCAATACCAGAGCTGTCATAGGGAAATACGGTTCATAGAGCATCCTAATGAAGAAAAGCTAAGGGATGCGAGACACAGGTGTGGGGAGGCAGGACGAAAAGCAAGTGCAGTCACAAAGATGGAAATAAATGTTCTGGGTGCAAGAGGCTGAAGGGGGGATGGAACTAGTGTCCAACGCTCTTTCAGAAATTATGGAGGGGAGTGAAAAGGTCAATAGAAGGTCAATGGACCTCCTCCTCCCTTTTCTTCCCAAATGCCCTTAGGGACAACACACCTATGTTATGCATTTAAAGTGCTGTGATATCCCTTTAAATACTCACGGCTTCCCCCAAAGAATCCTGGGAACTGTAGTTTGTGAAGGTTGCTGAGAGGCGCTAGGAGACCCCTGTCTCACAGAGCTACAATTACCATGGTTTCTTTTGAAGAGGTTATTAAGCCACTTGGAGGGTTGTTGCTCTGCTTCCCAATGGCTCTGGCTCCACCTGCTGTTTGGGCTCCCTATTGTCTGCCCTGCCAATCCCAATGGGCACCAACCCCCACTGTCTAGAGCAGCCGTTCTCAGCCTTGGGGTCCCCAGACATTGCTGGACTACAACTCCCATCATCCCTACCCAGCAGTGGTCAGGAATGATGGGAGTTGTAGTCCAACAATATCTGGGGAACCAAGGTTGAGGATGGCTGAGGAAAAGGCTCGATTGAATGGGCTTCAAGTATGGAGCAGGAGATTCCAGTTGGACACATAAAGAAAAGCAGTGTGTAATAGGAACCCATCATGTAGAAGGGGGGGGGGCTGTCCCTCATTGGAAGTCTTCAAACAGAGGCTGGGGGATCCCTGAGCTTTGGATTCCATGTACTGAGCTGAGGCGTTAGATTAGGTGGTTTATAAGACTTTGCCCAACTCTTGTGGTTCTGTGAAGCTGCTGAGCTTTAAAGCAGTGGTAGGGGGAGCCAGAAACAAAAGTGGGTGAAGCAATCAATGGCAGAGGGATGAATGCAAATTTTTACCTTTGCACAGCAAGCTAGTTTCTACACAGAGTCCCACAACCCTCTGTATCCTCCATGCAGGCAACCAAAAGGCATTTTTAGAGTTCAAAGGCACATACCAGCCAGGGAAATAAAACATTTAGGCTGCAAAGTATGACCAGTGAGGGATGTAGCTGGGGAAGGGTGTGTGGCTTGAGTAAAGTTTAAACAGCCACAATTCCGTTTCCGAGCACAATTCAAAGTGTTGGTGCTGACTTTTAAAGCCCTAAATGGCCTTGGTCCAGTATACCTGACGGAGCGTCTCCACCCCCATCGTTCTGCCCGGACACTGAGGTCCAGCTCCGAGGGCCTTCTGGCGGTTCCCTCACTGTGAGAAGCCAAGTTACAGGGAACCAAGCAGAGGGCCTTTTCGGTAGTGGCACCCCCCCTGTGGAACGCCCTCCCACCAGATGTCAAAGAGAACAACTAATAATAATAATAATAATAATAATAATATCTTTATTGTCATTGCCCCCTTCGGGTACAACGAAATTACTTGACTGCTCCATAAAAACACTAATTAATCAATACAGTATAATACAGCAAGGGAGATTAGATGACTTTCAAAGTCCGGGCTTCCCATTCAGGGCCGAGATCGCTCTGGAGAAGAAGCTGTTCTTAAGACGGCTCGTTCTTGTCTTCATCATCCTGTATCTCCGTCCCGACGGCAAGAGCTCGAAGAGACAGTGACCAGGATGCGATGGATCTTTTACTATGCCCAGTGCCTTCCTATGGCACCTTGTGGCATAAATCTGCTCTAAGGTGGAGAGTGGGCAGCCAACAATGCTCTCTGCTGCCTTAACAACCCTGCACAACCCCATCCTGTCCTGGGTAGTACAGCTTCCGTACCACACACATAAGCCATAAGTGAGCACACTCTCAATGGCACAGTGATAGAAGGCAAGCAGCAGTTTCTGCGGAAGATGGTTTTTCCTTAGTATTCTCAAAAAGTACAGTCTCTGCTGCGCCTTCTTCACAAGCCCCCTTGTGTTGACACTCCAGGACAGATCCTCTTGTAAGACAGATCCTACCAGACTTTTAGAAGACATCTGAAGGCATCTGAAGGTCTGTTTAATGTTTAACAGACTACTGTATTTTAATACTTTGTTGGAAGCTGCCCAGAGTGGCTGGAGAAACCCAGCCAGATGGGCGGGGTATAAATAATAAATTATTATTATTAGCCATACAGAGAGTATTGAGGGCCACATTCAGCTACCCCTAGCAATGCAATAATGTCTAAAACCAGCCCTTTGAATTGTGGTGATACCCAGGTAGATCTGGGCCCTCTCCCTGACCTGATAGGAGCTGGTTCATAGAATCGTAGAATTGTGGAGTTGCAAGGGGTCCTGGGGGTCATCTAGTCCAACCCCCTGAAACGCAGGAATCTCTCTGCCCAACGTGGGGCTTGAACCCAAGACCCTGAGATTAATGGTCTCATGCTCTACCAGCTGAGCTATTCATCGCTGGTCTGTGTTCCTTTGATACAAGCAGAGGGAAGAAGTGTTGTTCTTTCAAAAAAAACCCAAACCAATGTGGATGTATCAGTTCAGATAAAAGAGGCGAGAGCATCTTTTGTACCAGCTGAACCATACACTCCCATTAGCTTAATTGCGAGGTTTGTGAGCATTTAAACAGAAAAGAAGAAGAAGATTGTGTTCCTTGGTAGATGTGGCGGTGGCGGGGGGAGGGAGATGAGGGAACCACTTCTGTGTTTTACAGATAGGTGGCAATTAACAACCAAGAATTTCCTGGAACGGTGACTTTTCAAAGCTATTTCTTCTTCTTTTTCTTCAAGCAACAATTCCCCTCTCCCCCTCTGCCAGACAAGTGTTTTTTGTCTCTTCTTAACAAATAGAAGAACGCACAGTGATGGAGGGAAATAATAAGCGGAAGACTGTGATAAATATTTCTAGCAATCAAAGGCTTAGGAGGCAAAGCTACCCTACGACGCATCAGCGGGAAAAAGCAGCATGTGCAAGCTTGCAGGTAATTCTCAGTCCTCTCGATGCTGCATATGATGGGAAGGGAAAGGGAAAGGGAAAGGGAAAGGGAAAGGGAAAGGGAAGAGACCCTACAGCAGAGATGGGAAACCTGTTGAACTCCAGCTCTCATCAGCCCCAGCCAACATGGCCAATGGAGAGGGGCTGGGCCAGATTTAGGTTTGATGAGGCCCTAAGGTACTGGAGGTAATGGGGCCTTTTATATGTCCAGCTGCCCTGTGTCAAAATTGTTGCTGTTTTTTGTGTTGCATATATGCTATATGGTAATTTCTGAAATCTCTATGTGGGACAAGAAGCTACAGTTAGAACTGGATATGGAACAACTGATTGGTTCAAAATTGGGAAAGGAGTACGGCAAGGCTGTATATTGTCTCCCTGCTTATTTAACTTATATGCAGAATTCATCATGCGAAAGGCTGGCCTGGATGAATCCCAAGCCGGAATTAAGATTGCCGGAAGAAATATCAACAGCCTCAGATATGCTGATGACACAACCTTGATGGCAGAAAGTGAGGAGGAATTAAAGAACCTTTTCATGAGGGTGAAAGAGGAGAGTGCAAAATATGGTCTGAAGCTCAACATCAAAAAAACGAAGATCATGGCCACTGGTCCCATCACCTCCTGGCAAATAGAAGGGGAAGAAATGGAGGCAGTGAGGGATTTTCCTTTCTTGGGCTCCATGATCACTGCAGATGGTGACAGCATCCACGAAATTAAAAAATGCCTGCTTCTTGGGAGAAAAGCAATGACAAACCTAGACAGCATCTTAAAAAGCAGAGACATCACCTTGCCAACAAAGGTCCGTACACAAACTATGGTTTTCCCAGTAGTGATGTATGGAAGTGAGAGCTGGACCATAAAGAAGGCTGATCACCAAAGAATTGATGCATTTGAATTATGGTGCTGGAGGAGACTCTTGAGAGTTCCATGGACTGTAAGAAGATCAAACCTATCCATTCTGAAGAAAATGATCCCTGAGTGCTCACTGGAAGGACAGATCCTGAAGCTGAGGCTCCAGTGCTTTGACCACCTCATGAGAAGAGAAGACTCCATGGAAAAGACCCTGATGTTGGGAAAGATGGCGGGCACAAGGAGAAGGGGACGACAGAGGACGAGATGGTTGGACAGTGTTTGCGAAGCTACCAGCATGAGTCTGACCAAACTGCGGGAGGCAGTGGAAAACAGGAGTGCCTGGCGTGCTCTGGTCACGAAGAGTCGGACACAACTAAACAACTAAAAACAACAACAAACACTGAACATAAAGAACACCTTATGGAATAGGACATCCTATTGGTGTGTCCTCACAACCCACCCAATGGTCCCCAACATGCAAAAGAAGGGAAGGTAGTTTTGCTCGCTCTTTTCCATGCAACATTTCATTTGCTACCTTCCTAATATTATCGGCGAGAGAAGCAGAGCTATTTCTTTGTTTTTGTTTTAAAGCTGGCAATCCTACTCTCGCCGCTTGAAATCTAAATCACCGAGTCTCTTTGGTTTTTGAAACCTTTAGGCTTATGGCGCTTGCAAGTATTCAAGCTTTACTCTGCGACAAATAGAACATTGCTTTGTTGTTGTTGTTGTTTTTAATTAAAAAGGAAATGTGAGGTTCACAGGAAGCCAAATTCTGTGCAAAACCCTCTGGGAGCAAACTTCTACAAGGAGGGATGGAAGATTATACAGGCCAGCTGATGAATTAAAAAGTAATCCATCTTTAAGGCAGACTGTATTATTGTTCGCTTATAAGCAGGAAATTTGACATAGGCATGGAGCTATATTTTATATCTGCAATGCATGTAAGGGTACTCTGCCTAGAGACTGTGATCCTGTGATCTCCCCCAACCAGATTGCAGACCATTTGCTACGTTTCATTACTCTAGTGTGGGTCCTAATTAGTCCCACACAGTGATTCCCCAAAAACCACACTCACCTGCCCCAACACTGATGTCATATGTATACCTGAAATTCAGCATAAACTGCTTGTAAATGGACTTCAATAGTGATGCCGTTCATCAGGTTATTGGTAAAGGCAAGCCTCTTTCAAGTTGCCAGCTGGCATCAGAATGGCACCAGGTGAATACGTGATGGCAGCCCCACCTATCAAAGCTGGCTCTTATGGGGTGAGGGAAGAATGGATCTGGAAGGTGGAATAGACCCTGTTTCCACTTCTGCATTGCTTCCTCTAATGGCACAGTCACTTGGTAAGTGCCAACAGGGCTGTCTTAGTTTCATTTATATCAGGGTTTCCCAAATTTGGGTCTCCAGGTTCTTTCAGACTACAATTCCCATCATCACTGACCACTGGTCTTGCTAGCTAGGGATGATGGGAGTTGTAGTCCAAAATCAACTGGAGACCCAAGTTTGGGAAACACTGATTTATATGTTGCCCTTCTTCTTCAAAAGGTGCCCAGAGTGGTTAACAACACAACACAAAACAAAACCGAAAGAAACCAAAATCTAGTTTGTAATCACTAAAATGACAGTCATAGAACCCCAGTGCTTAACAAAACTTCTACCCTCCCACAGGCCTGGACAAACAAAGGTGTCTTCCAATTCGTCCTGAGGAAAGCCAGGGAAAGGTCCTGCCTGATCTCTCCTGGAAATGAATTTCAGAGATGGAGTCCCTCCCTGACAATGGAAGAAGCCCCCCAGTGCATTCTCAACATCCTTCCCATTCATGGCGGTGGTATTGCAAGAATTGCAACATGTTTAATATTATTTAGGAGTGTAATTAGGGCTGCCATATGTCCGGCAGCCCTAATTATCCTGGATCTTAGACAAGTCAATCGAAAAATGATTTTTTGTGTGTTTTTGTAAAAAAAAAGCTGAACCACTTTGGGCTTTTCCTAAAAAGAAGTTTGACAGTTTTGGGGGTTTCCTAAATTTTTCCCCCGGGGTGTCCTGGTTCTTGAAGGCCCCACTTGCATAACTTAACCAAGCTAGTCCAAATTCCACATAGTTCCACATGTGCATGTTCACAAATTCACACTATTATTATGAAGGCTTCTGAGCATCTCTCCCAGCTCACAGTAGAGCGTGACAAAGAGACAGAGCTGAGAAACTGGCACGAGATCTAAATCGCTCAGTGGGAGTTGCCAATGCTTAAAATGAAATCATAAAGTACTATAATAATACTTTCGGCAGGCCTCCCAGTTTCCATCCCTGCTTCCGAATGCAGCCCTTCCAAAATGTGAGATTTAATCTCTGCTGGTCAGGTTATGTACTGTGCACTTGATGAACCATCCTTTGCTGTCCTAACGACCTCATTATAGTTGATTTACCGGACCGGCATTTTATGGCTTCTGCATTAATGCAATGCCCCAAACACAAAAAAACCTACGCAATGTTTGTCCAGCTGTTAGGATTAAAAGGGAGATGATGACTTTAAGTGCCGGATAAATTATTAGGGTATCTTCTTTTAGTTGGGTTGTGTGTGGTTTACATCTGCATAGCAAACATTTTAAGAAATCTTCCTGGCTGCAGATAGATTCTAGTTAAGCACGCTATGAGCAAAGAATAGAATATTCTCCCACCCTTCCACGCCACAACCTCTCTTATTCTAATGAAAACAAATTATTTTGATGATAAACTTCTTCCTAATTCTTGCATCCAGTATCTTTCTGGATTGGACTTGTGTAAAGTAGCATTGAGTTGCCGATTTGAGCTTGATTTTCTGAGGAAGGAAACCAGCCCCTTTTTCCTCTTTTAAAAAAGCGGGTATTTTAAAATTGAAGTTTTTCATCTTCACAAAAGAGGAAAGGAAAAATTACACAATTTTAAAGGTATTACAAAAATATACCTAACATATTATACTCAAAATTACTTCTCAAGAAAACAAAAGACTAATCGATTTCAAAAGTATGGCTTGATATTCTATTTACAACATCATAAATTCATCCCCCACATTTCCTAATCCCATTTTCTCAGCCAGATATCAGTCTCCTGTTTCCCATTCACACTTCTGCTGAATCCCTGCTAAAACAGTCAATTTAATTCATTCCAGTTGTCCTCCTATTTCCCCAGACAAATCCTTCTTACTTGGGCCACATTCACAGCATACATCTCAAGAACTTATGATACCACTTCAAACAGTCACGTTGTTGTTGTTTAGTCGTTTAGTCGTGTCCGACTCTTCGTGACCCCATGGACCAGAGCATGCCAGGCACTCTTGTCTTCCACTGCCTCCCGCAGTTTGGTCAGACTCATGTTAGTAGCTTCGAGAACACTATCCAACCATCTTGTCCTCTGTCGTCCCCTTCCCCTTGTGCCCTCAATCTTTCCCAACATCAGCATCTTTTCCAGGGAGTCTTCTTTTCTCAAACAGTCATGGCTTCCCCCAAAGAATTCTGGGAGCTCTAGTTTGTTAGGGGCGCTGAGAGTTGTTAGGAGACCCCCTATTCCCCTCACAGAGCTACAATTCACAGAGTTAAACCACTTTGGTGGTTTAACTCTGTGAATTGTAGCTCTGTGAGGAGAATCTTTCAGGGTTCCAGGTTGTGGGGATGCCTTTGCTTATATAGCTGTATGTGGAAGACCTTCACTGCAGATGCTCACTCTCATTGTTCACATAGATGCCAGGAGAAGGGGTGTGAACATCTGCACTGAGAGGGCCTGACATCAGGGGGCTGACAGGGTATTCAGGTCATTCACAGGTCAGAGAGGGAGATGCAAAGAAGTTGCTCAAACTGGGGTGCAGACCTTCCTTTGCCTTCTAGCCCTCTGAATCGGGATCTTCTGTTATGGTGAGCAGCAGGAGCCTCTCTCTGTGCCTGTCTGGCCTGTCTGGCCTGTTGCTCAGAAACATTCTTCACATTCGAGAAATAAGTGAGGCTGGAGAGCAGTCAGCAGTGAGGCTCTCCTGCTGCTGCTGCAGGATAGATGCAGAAGCTGGTTCCACTCTGTCTTCTCTGCTGGAGTCTGCATCCAAACTGGAAGCCTCATCACCCTGCCCTGTGTTGAGCCACCTGCCTGCTTCTGCCTCTCTGTGATCCCTCGTGCTTCCTGCTTCTAGTACCTCCCAGCTTGTCCCTTCCTCTGAGGTGTGGCCAGTATCCCACTGCCAGGATCCGGGATCTAAGTCTTCTTCTTCTGCGCCCTCCCTGGGGGCTCTTGGGTGGGCATCTCCCACCACTCTTCCTCTTCCAGACAATCCCAGCACCTGAATGCATACATGTGACAAGTTCTGGAACCCTGATCATACAAGGTTCCATGTCACGTACAGCTGTGCATGGAAGACCCTCACAGCAGAAGTCCCAGATGCCAGGGGTATTTTGGCATTTCCTCATATCTTTTGTTTACCCTGGATTATAATTCCTCAGATAGATTAGGATCCTCATTTCATCCATAACTATGTTCAAAATAAAATAAAATGGGATGAAACCAATACCATTACCATATTTTAATCAAGGGGATTAAACAGGTAAACTAATCCACGTTCAGCGATTTCTGCATATGCATAAAGCAAACATATTATGTTAAATCCCTTTGGAACCCTTCATTCTCTGATTAGCCCTTTTGAATCATTTAATCAAATCAGATCGGAGCGAGTTCTGACAGCTATCAGCACGGCTTTGATTGACACCTGAGTCATCCCTTTGCGAAGCGTTTGAAGTCATTAGTACCTTGAGCAAGTTCTCATTTGTAAATGCAAATGCCAATCAAAAGTCGACTTCCTGATTTACAGCAGGATCAATTTTCTTGACAGCTCTGTAAAACCGAAGGGGTAGATCTGGACCTAATTACTGCACACAAATCACTGTGTCCCCAGCTAAGGGGAAATTTCCACTTTCAGGAATAAGAGAGGAATTTGTTCTTAAATAAAGTCACTGGGAATTTCAGTGCTATTTGTCTCAAGTCACAGTTTGATTCACACCCCATCCCACAGTGATGGATGCTTTGAGTACTCCTCTCTCATCTACGTTAATCACAATGCTGATGGAGTCTTTTTTTTTTTAATGAAGTCACAGTATGTATGATACTGTTATTAATTCATCATTCAGTAACTAGTGCGTGAAATGAATTGCTACGCATCTTGGGCACTTTTCAGTAACGCTTCCACTTCTATAAAAACAACTCTTCATTCGGCCCAAATAAAAACGATTCTTCTGGGACAGATCAAGCTGTATTCTCCAAACCATGTTTATCTTCTTGCTTTTCTTTCTTTCTTGCACTGCCTTTTCCCTGCTGTTCTCAGGGCCACTACACACAAAACAGCAGCAGAGAACCAAAGGTGGCCCTCAGACTCTCTCCAGGCCACACTCCTCACTGAGGCTACTCTGCCCCTCCTTTGAGTGCTTTTGCTTGCCTGAAATGGGTCCTTGAACTCCAATAGTGGCATACCCTCCAACATCTTGCTGATCAAAATTGGAGTGCTCCTGTTTTGGTCCTGAGCTGTTGCAGGAGCTAGCTGACTCATGGCAGAGTGCTGGACCAAAAAACAGGACAGTCCCAGATTCAATTAGAAGCCAGAATTGTAGCCTTATTGGAGTTCACCGATTGGGTCTGCGTTGCTCCAGGACAGGAGGAAGGAAGTCAAATGACACCAAGGTTGGTTCAAAGAAAGAGTTTATTCTGCTCTCCGGATAGCAGAAGGCACTTGCGTGGTGAGTCCACAGCAAGTCCAAAGAAATCAGAGATTACATGCTGTATATATATCCTCCAGGCACCCTTTCCCTCCTTCCCCAGGAATCCAACCACATCAGCCTATGTACGCAGGTTGACATCACATATGTTCTTGCTCTGGTATTCATAACCATAAAAGGGTATTCCTTTGTGTACTTCTGACCATAAAAGGATCTTCCTCTTCCTACTCTTATCTTGGAGGAAGAGGTCGTCATCTCCGAGAACACGCTCTGGCGTTGTTCCCGGACTTAGGTCTGTGCGTCTTTTGTGGTCAGGACATAAGATAAGGCACAGACATGTCTTGTCTGTTCTACTGGTACAGTCAGGATCATCCCTTGTCGTGACTGATAATGGAGAGAGATTGTTTATACAGCTGTGTCCTTGTTATGCATTTGCTCAACAGCTCAAGTTTTATGCATTTTAGAGTGCTCTCTTGGAGAAACAAGAAAAGGGGGGGGGTGAGTCAGTTTTAAACTGACTGCACAGAAACCCATTCCTTCAAAAAGGTTTCTGTAAATCCAAGATGTCCCACTCAGATCAGTATGGTTTGCAATTACTCTTGTTTGTCTGAATGGAGGAAGGAGAAACATGTGTGGGTTTAGAAGCCCCCAACTTCTGAGTCATTGCAAACCGTCCCGATTTGAGTGGGACATCTTGGAATGTTGCCCACTGTGGGGCCCATGCTGTTCTGCCCCCTTTTACCTCTGACACCACCTGCCAGTTGCTTGTGACCAGTGGAAGCTTGTCCAGAAGAGAACATAGCCCTTGTGCTGAAAAAAGGGTTGCCTATTCCTGCCATAAAACATTAACTCTGAACATGTAGGCATGCCAATTAATTAGCTGACAAAATCTCTGCCTTCGATCCAATTAATTAGTTAATAAACCTTAAATGCATTTGTATTCTGGCCAGACCATGATGCAAATTCTTCTTGGACAGGAGCACAAACAACCTATGCTTTAGTAAACAGAAACTCCCATTCCAAGACTTTCCCCCTCTTTTCTTTTAAGAACCAATATTTTCATTTTGCTCATACTTACAGTCACAGCTCAGCAGAAGTGGTTTGCCAGCTGAGGTGGAGTTTTATGCAAAGGTGATTTGGTGTGTTTTTAATTTTGCAGATTTAACAAAGGAAAAGTAAAACAACTTTTTTTAAGGCAACAAAAGAAAGTTTTGTGTGTGTAAATAATACTAATGGCAACAAAAAAGAAGCCCTCACCACTTCACAGTGTGAATACAATAACCACCAGTACCTACACTGTATGCTAAATATCTAAGTTAATCAGGGCTTTTTTTCAGCCAAAATAATGAGGGAGGTGTTCATGGTGAGTTCCACCACCTCTTTTTCTAGAAAAATAGCACTGAAGCTAATATAAGCCTTTCAAATGTCCAGATATGTATGCACATTAAATTGACAACTACAGTGGTACCTTGTATTACATACGCTTCAGGTTACAGATGCTTCAGGTTACAGACTCCACGAACACAGAAATAGTACCTCGGGTTAAGAACTTTGCTTCAGGATGAGAACAGAAATTGTGCTCTGGCGGCGCGGCTGCAGCAGGAGGCCCCATTAGCTAAAGTGGTGCTTCAGGTTAAGAACAGTTTCAGGTTAAGAACGGACCTCCGGAATGAATTAAGTTCTTAACCCGAGGTACCACTGTATATGAAATATTTTCAAGTGCAGTCAGGACCATGGACAGCCAGCCTTTATTCTTTTAGGCTCAGAGTAGAAGTCTCTTAGCAACTCTAAGAGTGTGCAAGGTCCCTTCTACTAATCCCCATACTACAGGAATATAATTGTAAAATACAAATATCAAGGATTTTGCCAATACAAAATCGATACAGGTAACAACTTCAGACCAAAAACTGAGCAAGCCCACATCATGCACCTTAGTGAGGCATTTCAGCATTACATCTTCAGTATCTATCTGAATTGAGCAGTGCCTCCCTGTACAAATGTTGTGGAGTCCAATATACTCAAAATATTCACTTGCTGGATCAATCTCAACCTCATCCCGTTAGATTCCAAAGCAGTTTTTCCATTGTTTAGGCTGTATGATACCTTCTAATTCTACACCTTATTCCACGCCTCTCTGGGTTCTTGAACTTCTACCTTACAAAGTTCCACGCAGCATTTCTCAATGACAATTACATGCCAGCTTCCTGGTAGGTTGGTAGGGTGAGGCAGCAGTGTGGTCAGTGCAGTGCAAGTTCACTGATGAGACCATTCTGGCACTGCCAGCTTGCCTGTCCCGCTCCTGGTAAGCAACAGAGTCCCACCTGCCAGGAAGAAGCCTAGTGGCTTCATCACACCTGGCAATCTGCTTCTGTGTACAAGAACCAAATTAATCTCCTAGATAAACGTATCCTTCATTCATAGCCCATGCCCCTGCCCCCAGTGATGACTCTAGAAAATCAACGAGTGCGTATAGTCCTAAAATGTATATGGGCAATTTTTTCAGTGAGGCTCCATCGCCTGATCCTGGTCAAACGACTCAGTACTTATGAATGCTATTATCTATCTCATCTTGAGGATCCTCGGATTGGCTGACACATATAAGTTATTTATTTTCATCTCCCTCAGTCTGAAAGCCTAAAGGATGGTGTGATATTTTAGCCCTGTGTTTTGCTGACATCCGCACTACTGAAGCTGGTCATTGTATCATTTTAATCTATTGTTTTAATTATTCTCTTTAAGGCACCTGGAGGCATAAATGGATAATACAATAAAACATGTTTCAATATATTAATTTTCTCCATTATGTTTATTATTCTCAAAAGCATAGATGTCAACTATATAAGCTTACAAATCCAGAGTGGGGTTTGGAGGTTTCTTTCCTTACATCTTTCTAA